GCCGGCGCGCTCGAGGACGCCGTCCTCTTCCAGCTCTTTGCGTTCTGCTGCACCGCCAACATGCAACTGCAGCCTGCGGAAGCCGCGTTCTGCGAGCAGCTGCTGCTCGTTGCGGGCGCCGCGCTACTCGATTACTTCTCGAACACGGGCAGCGGCCTCGCCAGCAAGGTCAAAGCCGTCGCGGCGCGCAGAGAGCGGCAATCCGCGATCGCAGATACCGCGCTCGCAGGTAGTGCGCCTTGTGCCGCGCGACGCCGCGGTTTTACCGCGTATCTGCTGCACGTCGCCAATGCGCTGCAAAGCGGAAAGCTGCAGCCCGCCAACGCTCTGCCGTTGGACGCAGACGCGTGGCTGCGTGCTCTGCACGCGGAAGCGCAGCGCGCGCCTGAGCATTCGACGCCCGACACCGAGGCTGCCGTCGCACAGCCTCCCCGCGCGCCACGCTACGTCAACGTTTTCAGCGCACTTGCGTGAGCGCAGCCACGCAGCTGGCCGCAAGCATGCACTCTTACACATTTTGCCATGGTCCAATTTAGCATCGTCAGTCAGAGCTGCGTCTACCGCAACATCTACGACTTCCACCATCGCTCGAAATTCGCGGGGTTACAGAGCGTGCCCGCGGAGCACAACCTGCTTGCAAGTTCCGCGCGCTGCCTCGCGGTAGTCAGCAAGTTTGAAAACGGGCTCAACTTGTACCGCTTAGACAACGCGCTCGAGACGCCTGTCTACGAGCCGTTTTTCGCGAGCGTCGCGAGCCAGGGCGTCACCGACCTACAGTTCTCGCCAAGCTGCGATGTGCTGCTCGCGTGCGCTTCTTTGCAGGGCAGCGTGGACGTGCTGCGCACGGAGTGCGTAAAGGCAGGCGTCGCGGGCACACAGAACGCGTTCCGCGTCCCGGACGCGCACCAGTCGCGCGTGACCGCGGTCGCGTGGAACCCGTGTTGCGAAGACGTGCTCGCGAGCTGCGGCGCGGACAAAACAGTCTGCGTCTGGGACTGCTCTTGCGAGGCGCGTTCGCTGCACTTCCGCGGCGACGCGAAGTGGTGGAGCTGCCAGTGGACGCCAGACGGCAAATTGCTGCTTGCCGCAGACAGCGCGCGGCGGCTGGCCTTTCTGGACCCGCGCGCGAACGCACTCGCGGCCGCGAGCGCAGGCGCCGCGTTCGACCAAACGACGTTCATCGCGAGCTGCGTGGTGCCCGCAGCGAATCGCATCGACGCCGAGCTGGTTTGCGCAGTGCAAACGGACCGCAAGTGCAACATGCGTCACGTCAAGTTGTTCGACGTGCGCAACCTGAACGAGCCGCTGTTCGACGACTACGTGTGCGGGATGGGCGGCCCACTGCGGCTGCACTACGACGCGAACTCGCAGCTGACGTTCTGCTACGCCAACAATGACATCGCGATAAACGCACTGTCTTGTTCGCTCAGCGCGACTTCGCACGTGTCGACGCTGTTCGCGAAGGAATCAGCCACGAGCATTGCGTTCGCACCCATCCGCGCGGTGAATGTCGCGAAAAACGAAGTCGCGCGTTGCTACGTCTACTTGAAGAAGAACGTGCCGGACATCGACATCATGTCGCTTTGCTGCGGCAAGCAAAACGCGGCGGGCAAGCTCAACGAAAAGTTCTACAGTGTGTATCCGACAAACCTCGAGACGCCCCCCGCGAAGTATTGGTTCGACAACAACGACGCTCTGCCGCAGTTCGCGAAGTTCGCATACAAGAACGACGCGCAGTGCTACACAGACCGCGAGGCCGCGCCGCAGACGGCTGCGCGGAAACGCTCCGCGACGCTCACGCGGCGCACGCACAACGTCGAGAGCGCCACCGCGTCCGCTGCGCCCGCCGCGCCCGCGCAGCGCTCCGTCTCTCAAATGCTGATGACCACCAAGTCAGTCGTGTCGCACACGACGGCCGTCGAGCCGGCCGCTGCACCACCTGCCGCGGACGCGCACGCCGCAGAAGCGCACACCACGAGCGCGCCGCCCGCCGAGACGGTGCACGCCGAGACGGTGCACGCCGAATCGCTACAGCAACTGCGGTTGCGGCGCGAAAATAGCAGCGCCGCAGAGCCCGCGAAGCGCGCACCGAACCAGCAAGCCAGCGGACTCTCTGTCGCGCGCACCGTCGCAAAACCGGAAGAGCCGGACGCGACAGGCTCCGAGCCGGCAGCCCGAACACCTTGCTGCACGTTACTGAATATCCAGTTTAATTGGTGTAAATAAAACCCGCGCTTAGCGACTCGATCTACGGCGAACCTTCGCGCATGGTCAGCTACTCCGACTTGTCCGCGCTGCTGTTCCTCACGCACAAGGGCGCTCGCATCGCCGTCAAGTAGGTTTTGCGCCCCGCGCCTCAGATACACGCCCTCCGCGCTGCAAACCCAGCAGTTCGGCTCGCTCGATGCGCAACTGCAGTTCGAGCGCGAGCTCGCGAAACAGCTCGCCGAGTTTTCCGACGCGAACGTGCACCACTCCTGCAACGCGGCCGGCCGGCAGGTGATCTTTTTACAAATCGACCAGATCTACGCGTGTGTCGTCTGCTCCGCAACCCCCAACGAAGTCTACCTCTGCGAATACCTAAGCAACCTGGCCGTATGTCTCCGCTCGATCCTCGGCGACAACGTCACCGCAGACAAATGTGCGGAGTACATCGCAGCACTGCTGTTGCTCATCGACGAAAGCCTCGCCGGCGACTTCATCACCGAACTAACGCCGGATATTTTGCTGTCCCGCGTCCAAAAATTCAGCGCCATGCCGCTCTCCTAGTTTTTCCCGACGCAATTGGAAAACCGATTTGACGCAACCCGACGCCATGCATAGCCAATCGCTGCGCCACGCGCCCTGTGCGGAAAAATTTACGCTCCACGCCGCAGCGCGCGACGCGCTACACCAGGTAGGTTCCCGCGCGCCGCACACAGCCCGCTAAGAACGCCCGCTGCGACAACACATTTTTGCGCGCGAACCTCGCGTACGCCCAGTCTCGCAAGTTCTACGCAAACCTGCTCGCCGCTTTCACTCGGCGCTGGACCGCGGTGCACCCGGTCTGCTCGGACGGCAGCCCGCGCTCGGTCTTTGCATACCTCGTGCAGCCCTTCGACGTATCCGTGTGCCCGCTCGACAGCGCGCTGCACGAGCCGCTGGAGGCCGCGCTCGGCAGCTTCTCGCTACTGGACCTACTCGCGCCTGCAGCAAACCTCGAGCAGCAACGCGGCACGCAGCTGCTCTCACTCGAGATGCCGCGCAAAGGCTGCACCGAGCTGCTTTTCGCCGAACTCAAACGCAAACTGCAGATACTATGCAAACTGCCCTCTGACAACCTGAAGCTCGCGCTCGTCCCGCGACACAAAGTACACCCAGACGCCGGCGGCGGCGCGCTCGACACGCTGCTCGCGCGCTTCCGTGTCTACTGCTGCTCCGTGCAAGAGCTTGAGGCGCCCGAGCGCGGAGACCTCAAAGTCTACTTCGGCGGCGCGGCCAAACTCGCGCTCGACCAGCTGCCGCTGCTCGACGCGATGCTCACTCTGCAGCTCGCGCGCAAATTCGCGCGCGACGGACGCGCGAAAACCTACTCCTTCCCCTCGCAACACGTGCTTTTCGAGCTCGATCCTCACGCGCCCGAGGCGTGTCGCCGCAACGACTTGTGCAACTACGAACAAGCTTGCGCAGCCGTTTCGCAACTGCTTTCGCGCCAACCCTATGAGCACGCGCTGCCCTGCTCACTCTCCGCCGCGCAGGCCGCGCGCTGCAACTCCAACGCACGCGACTTCGCGCTGCCCTGCGTCACCCGCGTCACCGTCGTCGGCCACGATCTCGGCTGCACGTTCGCGCTTCGGCTCGCGAAGAACCTTGCGCGACAGCACTGCCTGCTCACGCTCAAAGTCGTGCTCGTCGCGCCCTTCACCGACGTCATCGCCTCCGAATTCAGCAAAGCCAACGTCCCGCTCGCCATGCGCCACGCAGCCGGAAAACTGCTGCGCGCACTCACGCGAGCCGAGCTTGCGTGGGACAACGTCCGCACGATACTCTCGCTGGCGCTGCACATGCTCGCGAATCTTGAGCTGGTCCTCGTGCACTGCGGCGCACTCAACAAACGGAACGTCAGCTCTGTGACCATTCTGCACGGGCAGCAAGACACCACTGTGTACCCGCTGCAGGGCTTCAACATCTACTGTGCTGCGAAAGAAGTCATTGCCAAACGCCTCGACGAATGCGTCTCCGAAACGCGCCGCGGGGAAATTAAAAAAGTCCTCAAGGAACTCGTCAGCTTCTACATTCTCGACAAAACCGACCACGAAAACATCGTGCGTGGCAGTCAACAGATCGAAGTGCTCCACCAAGCCGTCTACCGCAAACTCCGGTCGAACGTGCTCGACATCGTGCCGCCGCCGGCATAGCTCACCAGTCGAGCGCGCGTCCGACGCAGCCAACTGCCGCACGCTGCGCGGCGTACTGCAAGTTCACCAAGTCGCTTACCGGCACTAAACCCGTGTGCGCGTCCGAGAACCGCAGCACCAGCGTCAAGCTGCTCTGGATTTCCGCGGCGCGCACGCGCAAGTCCCGCGGCACGGCCATCGGTGGCGCGCGACGACACTCCCAACACACGCAACACTTGCGAATTCGCGCGTACGACACCCTCTTCACGACTGACGCCGAGCGGCCCGGCTGCTTCAGCGTCAGCACCGCATACTGCGGGTTCGTAATGTCCAGCGCTTCGCAAACCAGCTTGTCATGCGTCAAAAACGCCAGCCCGCGAACCGCGCGGTCCGCGATGTGCTGCAACTGGCGCATCACCGGATGGTCCGTACCCGCAAAGGCCATTGCAAACGGAAACGCCGCGCCGTCGTCTCGCAGCGGCTGAAACACAGGCGAAGCGAAATACTCGTCGAGCGCGACGGGAAACAGCTCGTACGGCAGCTTCGGCGCGCTCACCTTTCGCGCAGGTTGCGGCCAGTCCGGGCGCACGTGCGCGTCGCCGAAGCCCGCGGGAACCTTGTTGCAGATCACGCCGAGGATCGGCACGCTGAACGTCTCGTAAAAGCGAATGCCGCGCTGCACGTCCGCGTACGACAGCTCTGCAGGATTCGACACCACCAGCACGCCGTCCACCTCTAACTCTTCTACCAGCGAGATGTGCACGTCGCCCGTGCCCGGGGGCGTGTCGACGATCAAATAGTCCAGCGGCCCGTAGCGCACGTTGAACAGCAACTCGTTGCAGAGTCGTGCCGCCATCGCGCCGCGAACGCCGTTAAACTGTTCCGGCGCGAGAATGTAGCTCGCCGACATCAACTTCACGCCGCCGTACTCCAACGGCACCATCTTGTTGTCCGATTCGCCAGCGTCTTTCTCGAAGTACACCTTCTGCTCGATGTTCACACTCTGCAGCGGCAGCAGAACGCTGAAACTCGGTCCGTACACGTCCAAGTCGCATATCGCCACAGCGCAGCCGCGCGCCTTCAAAATATAGGCTAAGTTCACAGATAACGTTGACTTCCCGACGCCGCCTTTGCACGATGACACCAGCACAACGTGCTTCGCAAACAAACCCTTCTCCGCGTTGCCCTTCTTGCGCGCGCCCGCCTCTGGGTCCGTCTCAACCAAAAAGCGAACCTCTACTCGCGAAACCCAAACCAGTGCCGACACAAAAAACCGCACGCTCTTCTCGAACCAGCTCTTCATCGGGCATGCCGGTGTCGTCAGCAGCAAGTCTACTGTGACGCTGCTCGACTCGAGCTGCACATTTTTCACGAAGCCGCAGGTTACGATGTCTAAGTTGAGGTCGGGGTCAATGATGTTCTTGAGCTGCTGCTCAATCTGGGTGCCGCGCAGCAAAACTTACTTCAGCGCGCCGAACCTCTTCTGCGTCCACGCCAGGCATTACGATGCGTCTAATCTCTTTTCTAGTCGGTCATCGAAGTATCCGGCACCGCCTGTCTAACGTCTGCGAGTTTTTTCTTCAAGACCTTGATCTCGGACTGTATTTTTTTGGCTCTCTCTTTGGCTGAAGGAATTTCCGTTTTTAATTTCGATTTTCTAGTGCGGAGCTTTTCGATGCGCTTCTTTAATTCGTTGACGTAAACTATTTTGTTCGCAATCAGCTTTTTGCTGCTCAGCTTCTCTGCGCCCTCCCCTTCCGCGACCACTGGCTCCAAACCTCGTTCGACCATCGTTTGACTGATGTTTCGAATCGCGTTCAGCCGCTTCTTGCCGCTCAACTTTTTCGTTTCAGTAAGCGCGGCCTGCCTAGCACGAGCCGCAACCTACACTGATGAACGGGTCGGCAACCGCGTTCTCGTCCAAGGCTTTGCTGACGCGGGTCCGCAAGTCTTTACTGAGTTTTCTTCTCTGTTTCATCCTAAAACATAATTTGTAATTACTCGCTTGCGAATTTGCCGGCTTTTGCAATATCCGAGTCCGTGATCTATACCCGCTAGTAGATTGTATTGGTTCTTTTTTTAGCGAACGTGTTTGCCTTCTCTTTTTCATAATGAGATTAAGTATTCAAATCTTAGTGATCTCAGCCTACCGGGCGACGGGAAACATCATAAAAACCGTGGCCCCCATCAGCATATGTCCGAAAAACTACTACGACAACGGAAGTGCATGCGTCGCAATCGACTACGTCAAAGCCGCCGCGAAGTGTCCGCACAACACAACTTTCCGCAACAACCAATGCGTATCTACGGCGCAGATTAACTCTTCGCTGCAGTGTCCTCCAGACACAGTGTTGCAACAAAAAAGCTGTCTCGCGTACGAAGAGCAGGAGCCCATCTACCAATGCTCCAAGCCTTACAGTCTATCCGAAGGTCGCTGCATAAAACAAGAGACAAGCACTGTTGAGAAATCGTGCCCCAAGGGGTTTCAAGCAAAAGACCAAAGTTGTATCCGGTCAACAAAGTGTGAGCAAACCGAACAAATCTGTCCTTCGACAGCAACTCTAGAGGGAAAGTTTTGTGTCGAGCGAGACGTTTCAACGCCAACGCTCACCTGCCCGATGGGGTTTGTGACGGACGGAAACACTTGTATCAAATCGGAAATGGTTTCCAGCAAGCCACTCTGTCCAAAAGAGTACAAGCTGGAAGGCACCGAATGTGTTCTGCAACGCAAAATCAACAGCGAGTGGTATTGCGAAGAGGGAACATTGCAAGGGAAGAATTGCAGCCGCGTAATTGAGGGACAGGCAGTGGTCAAATGCCCGAAGGATTTCGACCTTATCGGGCAGATGTGCACACTAAGTATGTCGGCCATGCCGACATTCGAGTGTCCGCGCAACACGGAACTCAAAGGCGGCATGTGCATCCGCAAAGTAACGGATGCTCCTCAGCAGCAGTGTCCTGAGCACATGATTCTTGAAGACGGTGCGTGTCTCTCCGTCGACGTGCAGCCAATGCATACGACCTGCCCAGAGGGCTTCACGCAGCACGAGAAAAACTGCATCAAAAACAACAAAGTCGACGCGCAGAAGCAGTGTCCGAAGGGCTACCGGCTGCAGGGCGAGAATTGTGTATCCACTGTTAAGTTGGGTCCGCCAGACATAAGTTGTTCTGAGCGCATTGAGTCAACGCCGGTGGTCGTCAAGTGTCAGAAGGGGCAACCGAACGAAGCAGGACAGTGTGTTTACATCGACGTGACGAACCCGAGGAGCGTATGTCCGCAAGGCTACAAGTATGAGCGTGGCCTTTGTGCACGTTTGATCGCTGTGAGTCCGACGAACACATGCTCCGATGGCATGACGATGGCCTCGCACGGTCAGTGCGAGACGCAACTAGCGAGTGCGCCTGAGCTGATTTGTCCGCGATCATTCTTGCTAATGACAGACGGCCAGTGCCAGAAAACCAGAGTTCAGCCGTACATGCTGGAGTGTCCCGCCAACTTCAAGCTCGAGAAAGGAGTGTGCAAGCCGATCGTGAGAGAGTTTTACCCGGCGAACATGGCGGTTGCGAGCGCGCATGAACACGCGCATTTCCATCACTGAGCACTACCGCAGAAAATCAGCGCGGTTCAGCAACAGAACAGCGACCAGAAACATGAGGTGTGCTGTTCAGCCGGCGCACTTTCTATGAGGAAGCGAGTCGGAAGTCTGGGCGCCGTGTGGTACAGATGGGGGCCGACATGAACTCGCTGTTCGCGCTCGCAATGCGCAGGCGGACGGTACCCGTCGCAAGGAGAACCTGCGCGCAAGCCGGTATGATCGCCAGCGAGCGCGTCGAGCTGTGCGCCGGCGCGATCGGGTGCTGGCAGCACCTCCTCGTCCAAACCCGACGTAGATTGAAAGTATTTAGTCTTCAAGCCAAAGCGCGACTTTTCAGCCATTGTAAAGGTGCACGTGCAGACAGAGAAGCCAACGCTACACCAGGCAGCAAACTCCGGTGCAGCTGCTCAGAGCCGCGGCCGCTGAGCGTTCAAACTATTTTGCGGCCTTTCGATCCATAGTGCAGCAGCATAATTTATGCAGCAATGCGCCGCGATAAAATAGTTTGCAGAAAACTAGCGGTCTTTTTTTCCGCGGCTGCCGATGGCGCGCAGCAGGTCTAGATCGCTGTCTACCAGGCGCGCAAAACTCAGATCTTGCGCAGTTACGCCGCAACAAAAGTTTGCGAACCGCGCGCGAAGCGGCGCGTCGTGCGCGGAATACGGCGATCTGTAAACGACTGCAAGCTGATCCGGAGATTTGATTTCGCCGCTGCTGTCAAATGTAATGTCCACGCCTCGAAGCTCGTACTTCAGCGGCGAGTTGTAGCTGCGCGGCGCATTTTCTGCGTAACATTTGTTGAGTGGGGGCGCGTAGCGTGCAAGTCGCTGCGGCGAATCTTGGCTACGACGGCAGTACCACATCTGCACGTGCAGGTAGCGCCGGCGGTTGAACCACTCGTTGAGCCGCAGGTCTTTGAAGACGCTGCGGCACTGGTCGCGCAGCAGCTTCTTCGCCCACTTTGAGAGCACAGCCAGCAGCGCGGCGCAGACGACCAGCACAACAAGCTTTGTCAGATGCACCCAAGAGAACGCGAGGACCAATGCGCGCGTGTGCAGAAGCAAGGCGCAGCAAATGGCGAACAGCTGCGCGGCAAGGTCGAAGACAGAGCTGAGAAGGAACGCAACAAAAAACTGATGGTTGCGCTGCCCCACGCACTTCAAGAGCCATTCGCAGTGGTGGTCAAAGTTGTCAACGCAGACATCGCAGGTTGCGCAGTGCTTCGAGCGCGCGCGCTTGAGGCGCCAGCAGGAAAGGCAGATTCTATCTAAGTTGACATCGTTAACAGCCTGGAGGTGCGCAACGTAGTCTGCCAGAGGCAGCGCTAAGAAATCCAAGGTTTGCTCGGCGTCATATGACTCGAGGTACAGTTTGCTCAGGAAGTCTTCGTCGCAAAGCTTCGCGCCGATCTGCGCGAAGTCCTTCCTAAGCAGCTTGATGCTCTTCGCGCGCGTGCATGGCTGTGCTAACTGTACTGCGAAGAACAGTGCGACTTGAGCGACGCGCGACGCGTCAAAGAATTTTAGCACGAAGTGCGACAAGTCGAGGCGCGCGAAACTCAACTTGAGGGCCGGCCGCAGCAAGTTCAGGTACACAAACTGAAACCAAGAGACAATCGCGAAGCCACTGAGGAAAAGCAGATCGTTCGGGTTCTGGCAGAGCAGGTTCTGAGCGCTGCGAAAGTGCATGAACTGCGGGCTGTGCGGCCAGAGCGCCTTGGCCAGCTCTGCGCAGAACTTCAGCGTGTTTGTTCGCCTCACATTCGATTTCTCGACGCAACCCTGCTCGAATTTGTCAAAGTGGCTGAGTTCGTGCTTTTCGAAGAATTCGCGCAGCGACGCGCCGCTTTTTGTGCGAATTGAGTAGAAAACGGACTCTTCGTCCTGCCCTGCCCAGCTCGCGAGAAACGAGATGTAGGCACGCGCGGTAGCGTAGAACTCGAGCAGGAGCAGCGTGTGGACGGGGAGCAGCCCGCGGCTGTCGTAGCACGTATTGAGATTGGCGCCATGTGCTGCAAGAATGCCGAGCGTCATGTAGTTGCCGTTGAACGCGGCGAGATGCACGTGGGACGTGAAAAAGAGTGGCGAAGCGCTGAGCGGGAAGCCGCGGGACAGCAAATAAAGCAGCGCAAGCGGTTTATCGGCCAGTACAGCGCGAGTGACTAGCGTTTCGTGTGCGGACGACTCAATTGCCTTTGGTACGGTGCCATTATCACTCAACCTCGCGAGGACGATGTGCAAAAGCAGCAAGTCGTTGCCATCCAGCGCTTCAAAAGCGTGCTCAGAGTCAAACCGCTCGCTCGGCGCCTGCCGCAACTCCGAGTAGCTGCGCGCAACTATCAGTCGCGTAATTTCAGCATCGTGCATTTTGTGTGAGTTGCAACGGCATTATTAAATAGATTACTGCGTCCAATCTTTTTAGGACTGATCGCTCGCTGACAGCGCATGAGCGACTACAACACAGTTCTGAGCGTCGTGGAGCAAGTCGACAGGTTGCTTCGCGAGGAGCGCGATCCAGTCAGCACTCTCAGCTTGTACAGCGAAGAGAGCAAGTACTTTTTAGAAAAACTCGACTGCACTGTGCTGCGCACTGCGGAGGAAACGCGCGCGGCAGCTGATCAGCTGGTGCAAAAGCGCGTGCAACCACAGACTTCGCAACTGGAGATGCGGCGACGGCTCAGTCGCGGCGAAATACTGCCGATGCCCAT